CTGTTAATATTGCTCAGTGGGATCCAAAACTATGAGATCACAAGACTTGTAGCATATTTTATGTCAACTCTGATGATTGCGTCACCAGAATGATTAAAGCCAGAACATGTGTGTACAGAGTTCACATGCTCAGTGTCAATAATTGACTTATTTGATTAATGATCTAAAAGATGCCGAATATATAATTTATTATGCATACAGCATAACATTTCTTTATTTTTAATCTTAAATTACATTTGATCCATGCACTGGACACCACTGCGTAATGAGCAGTGTTACTTTTAAAAGTAATGTGTTACAATAGTGTTATTCCCTAAAAAGTAACTAATTGCGTACATTTGACATTTTATGGATAGAGTTACACTCTTACTTCAGCAATAAAAAGAAACAAATTGAACACAAATATGATGTTGATCAAGTAATTTGTAATTTTTTCAGGATATTTTAATGAATAAGATTTATTTGAAATTTAAATCTTTTGCAACATTATTAATGTCTTTACTGTCACTCATGATCAATTTTATAAAAGTTTTTTTTTTTTTTACGTACTGATCTTAAACTATTAAACGGAAACGGTAGTGTTGATACATGATACGGCCGATACGGCATGATACGGCCGAACAACAGCACAGTGTACATTCACCCCTGTCAGGAAACAATTCACACGCTTAAGAAACTTCATCTTTGTCAATAAACATCTCATATCATTTACTCAAATCTTTTTTGAAATTCCTTGACATGGCTGGCCGTCAACCAGCATCTAAAAAGGGTTGGGTCACAATTACTCTTGGCTGAGCTGCAGAAATCTACACCATTGAGGAAAAAGGCGGTCCTGAATGCAAAAACTTCCAATGGTCTATTTTTATTTTCATTGTAAATTCAGATGCCTTCTGATTAACATTTCAGCAATAAGACATTGGGAAAGTACAGTGAGTGAAACCTAACAAACACAGCTGCAGGCATTGTTTATAACATCATTTAGTCAAATATTTTAGTTTTTTTTTTCTTGAAAAATTATTAAATTATAAAATACATTCAGTTATGAGAATATTCAAGCGTGTCCGAAATGACAAATTAATGTTCTTCTGAATTCACGCCATTGGTTGAGCTGTTGCTGTGTCGATCTGTTCTGGATGATCGAACAAACAGAGCAAAGTTTTGATAGCACCACAGACACTTTACACTTTCTTTGTGAAATCAGTCTACAACTTACTTAGTTGTCTGTCTAGATTAAAACTAGGGTGTAGTTTTGTAGAGACTAGCAATATCAAGCTAGCTTTGAAAGCATAAGATCCCTTTCAGAGCATCTCAAAAGCCACGTCTCCTCCAAAACACATGAATGTGCGGCGCACAGCCAGAGCAGAGTCTGCAAAGCATCACGAGAGAGGACGTTAAATTACCAGTGAATGTGATTTTACCAAATACAACATGTTCCTGGATCAACATTCCAATCAACCAATTAGATTAATAGTTTATGTTTAGGCTCACAACCAGGTTTAGATGCTTCTACATCCGTGTTATCATTTCCCTCTGATTTTAGGGATAAGTTATAGGTTAGGTTTAGGGTTTTCGGACAGTGATGTTGTTTCCAGGATCAACAAAGATGTTGATCCAGGAACATGTTGTACTTGGTGAAATCATGTTCACCTTAAATTGCCTCATGTCTCAAAGCACATTACATTATAATAATAATGAACGTAAACAATATGGAGCCCCGACTTGTGCCATCTGACTTCAGCAGATTCATTTTGGCATTGATAGTCTTGCCACAGAAACGCATAAATCCAATCATGATCGGCTCCGAGTGGAATGTCGCGAGTTGCTATTTTATAATTAGATTAATACGTCAGAGAGGAAGTGTAAAAGGGGATGGTGATGTGTGATCTGCTTGTGATGTCTGCTTGCAACTTCCACAGAAGATACTGTATATTTAAACCACTTCTATTATCGATTGCTATCAGTGTGTAGAGTTTCAACCAGTGTAACAAAAAATGTTTATAAAAACATTGCCTAACCTAGCTTTAACCTGGAAAGGAGAAAAAAAAAACGTTTTTTTTTTTAAAATTGCTTATTTTAACACTAACTTAGACACTAAAAGTGGTACTTGAGAGGCTCACTCAGTGAAACCATTCAAGTCTGCAAAACTACAAGCACTTTACGTGCTTTAAACTCAGTTCGCTATTGTAAAATAAACTTTTTACAAAACTCTAAACACACTTCTCTACATTAGACATATCAGTCAAAACTAACAGCTCTTTTGTTTCATTTGGGAAACACTGCCATTTAAATGCCACAATCATTTCCCGATTACCCACACCCAATGATCACCATAAATGGATCACTTAAATGAAATCAAAGTACTACGGACCCCCTAAAGGGACCTTTGCAAAAATAAAAATATACAGACTTTCGCATGCTCACGAGAAACGTATCTCGTGCGCACGAGAAAACTATCGTGAAAGTTTCTCGTGAGCACGTGAAAGTCTGTATATTTTTATTTTTGCAAAGGTCCCTTTAGGGGCTCCGTAGTAATACGCAGTGTTTTGAGAAATAAATAATTTTTACCCCCTTGCATTTGTTTATAGTGTGTGTGTGTATATATACAGTGAGTGTATATATGAAGTCACCTAAAGGATTATTAGGAACACCGTACTAATACTGTGTTTGACCCCCTTTCGCCTTCAGAACTGCCTTAATTCTACGTGGCATTGATTCAAGAAGGTGCTGAAAGCATTCTTTAGAAATGTTGGCCCATATTGATAGGATAGCATCTTGCAGTTGATGGAGATTTGTGGGATGCACATCCAGGGCACGAAGCTCCCGTTCCACCACATCCCAAAGATGCTCTATTGGGTTGAGATCTGGTGACTGTGGGGGTCATTTTAGTACAGTGAACTCATTGTCATGTTCAAGAAACCAATTTGAATTGATTCGAGCTTTGTGACATGGTGCATTATCCTGCTGGAAGTAGCCATCAGAGGATGGGTACATGGTGGCCATAAAGGGATGGACATGGTCAGAAACAATGCTCAGGTAGGCCGTGGCATTTAAACGATGCCCAAAAAGGGGCCTAAAGTGTGCCAAGAAAACATCCCCCACACCATTACACCACCACCACCAGCCTGCACAGTGGTAACAAGGCATGATGGATCCATGTTCTCATTCTGTTTATGCCAAATTCTGACTCTACCATCTAAATGTCTCAACAGAAATCGAGACTCATCAGACCAGGCAACATTTTTCCAGTCTTCAACTGTCCAATTTTGGTGAGCTCTTACAAATTGTAGCCTCTTTTTCCTATTTGTAGTGGAGATGAGTGGGACCCGGTGGGGTCTTCTGCTGTTGTAGCCCATCCGCCTCAAGGTTGTGCGTGTTGTGGCTTCACAAATGCTTTGCTGCATACCTCGGTTGTAATGAGTGGTTATTTCAGTCAAAGTTACTCTTCTATCAGCTTAAATCAGTCGGCCCATTCTCCTCTGACCTCTAGCATCAACAAGGCATTTTCGCCCACAGGACTGCCGCATACTGGATGTTTTTCCCTGTTCACACCATTCTTTGTAAACCCTAGAAATGGTTGTGCGTGAAAATCCCAGTAACTGAGGAGATTGTGAAATACTCAGACCGGCCTGTCTGGCACCAACAACCATGCCACGCTCAAAATTGCTTAAATCACCTTTCTTTCCCATTCTGACATTCAGTTTGGAGTTCAGGAGATTGTCTTGACCAGGACCACACCCCTAAATGCATTGAAGCAACTGCCATGTGATTGGTTGATTAGATAATTGCATTAATGAGAAATTGAATAGGTGTTCCTAATAATCCTTTAGGTGAGTGTATATATATATATATATATATATATATTTATATACTGTATATGCATACAAGCCAAGTCAGAAAGTCAACATGATTTTTAAAGCGCTTTGTACAGTATAGATTGTTTCACAACAGTAACAAATTCAAATTCTGCTGTAAAGCAGCTTTAGTGTCATTATTCAGCTCAAGTCAGTTCAGTATTGATTAAGTTCAGTTCCATAACTGTGTAAAATGCATGTTGTGCATACATGTATATACAGTGTATTTTGTTCACATGTACATGTGACACACTCCTACACTCCACTGCAAACTGAACAAGCAAAAGACACGATATGTAGTAGCGTTTTACATTTTTCACATCTGTGTGTAGTTTGGCGTGTTTGTAGCTAATCATTTTATGTTTGTGTTTAGAGTTACAAAAATAGCATTTTTAGAAGAGTTAAAATAGTTTTGAATAAACTGTTTACTTTTGCAAGGGCTGTGTGACGTTTTGCATCTTGTGTGCGTGTTTTGTGGTTATGTGTGTAGAGTTGAGAGTTGAGAGAAATGAAGCCATAAGGGGCATTCGCACGGATAGTTCTAGGAACTTAGTTCTAGGAACTAACCACCAGGGTGGTTCCCATAGGAACCTTTTCTCGTTGCATTCGCACTGCCAGTAGGAATTCTGAAGTGACGTAAACTGCGCTCGTTGTTGTGACTTCTATTTTTACAGCCCGGCAGACCTTTATTTTGAGAATGCAAGAGTCTGAGCATACAAACAGTGCTCGCATCCTCCGTGTTCATTAGGTTTTGATCTGACCAACGGTCCTGTGCCCCTATAGTTTCAAAAACTGTGTAAGAAATTTTGAAAAACTGTAAAGTGATAATCACCCAAAAAGTAAAATGCTGTCATCATTTACTCACCCTCATTACCTGTTTTGTCCATACAGTGAAAGACAATGGGGTCCAAAACAACATTGGGTCCCACTGACTCTTATTGTATGGACAAAACAGTTAACATTAGAGTCTTCTTTTGTATGCCACAGCAGGAAAATAGCCACAGTTTCGGAGCAACATATGGTAAATCATTTACAGAATGTTCGTTTTTGGTTTGACTATCCTTTTAACATTGAAAAGCAGATATACTGTATACCCCTTTAAGCAGTTCAGTTTTAAAAAGTGACATACCAACTCTTTGAAGCAAGTCCTTTGATTCAACAAACCTTTATTTTCAGTCATTTGACCACTCAGGAATGAGAAAATACAGTATTTTCCACCAAAATCCCATTGTATACTGTGAGTTAACACATAACCTGACTAAATAAATTATAAAGAAAATAAGAGAAGAAAATAAGTCTTCCAACACGTCTTTGAGGTTGTGCTCACAACTCGGCCTACATAGTTTGCATTCGGTATGGTACACTGTACAATGCAGCATGAAGATTGAAAAAACATTGATAAAATAAGACCACAGAGACAAACACAAATGATAAATAAATAGAAATTAACAAGACGAATTAAATAGACGTGGAAAAAACACATTAGTTCAAACACCAGTCCTTTGTCCAAATCATCAAAATGATCCTGAATCACATTTAAAAGGGTCCTTGCAGACGAATGGAGGAAAAAAACACTGTCCACCGTCGTACCTTACAGATTCCTAAAAAGTCTTTCCACTTCGCAAATTCTTCGGAACACGCTCCCCGTGGGTCATTTTACGCTTACATGGCTTTCATGTCTACAATATTGTGTCAAAGATTTGATCAGTGTTCGTGAAACTATGCAGCAGAGGAAATCCAGTCTTTTTGTACATTCCTGCGTAGAATCCAGCTCTACACAGTTAGATCTGAAACGGTCTCCACACTCAACACTGTGCCTCTCTCTCTCTCTCTCTCTCTCTCTCTCTCTCTCTCTCTCTCTCTCTCTCTCTCTCTCTCTCCAAGCACACGCATACACACACACCCACTCACACTCATAAATACAATAAGGCTGAAACAGGTGCTAGTGTTACAGGTATGACTGTTATGTAGCATGTTCAGTTCTGTACCAGTCTGTGACAGGAATCGAGTCAAGTGGAATTCTTAGCGAGACTGCATTTCAAAGTCCCACCATTGATATATGTATGAAATAGTCTCTGTCAAAGACAAACGCACACACATAGGTTTCCATATCAAGGGCTTTCACCTGGCAGTCTTTGTTTCCATTGCAATTTCCTTGCTGATTGAATGAACTTCCTCTGTTTTCTATTGAAAATCCCAAAGCCATAGTGAATTTCGGTGTAATTGGGTCAGTCTGAAAACATATTGAGTTTCCTATACAAATAGCAGTTTTGATTAAACTGCCTCTGTTATAGTGGAAGGGAATCCTCTTACATGTATGTAGAAATATCAACTGAAGTTTAGCATCCTTACACCCAAACACACAAAGTTTAGAGGCTCATTTAAGAGGCAATGTATTCGCAATTCATCGATTTTTGTGTCTGAGGGCAACCGCGAAATAACTTGTTAATGGCTTGTCTTGTATTACCTTGAGTCCTCTCTAAAATGTCACGGGACTTGCATGATGATATCATTTAAGAAGCAATGGGGAGCTAAATACTGTAGTGTGTAGAATCAAATAAATAAGTTAGCTTTGGCTCCCAGGCCATCTTCTTTCACTTATCATCGGAATTAACGGTATCATTCACCTGAAAAATGCCATTTGCTATTTCACTCACTCTCATGCTGTACCAAACCTGTATGACTTCGTTTCTTCTGTGGAACACAAGATAATAGATGTTATTTTGGACCCCGCCTACTTTCGGTATAAGGACAGTGGTACTTCAAAATATCTTTTATGTTCCACAGAAAGAAAGAAAAGAAAGTCATACAGGTTTGGTACGACATGAGGGTGAGTAAATGATGACAGAATGTTAATTTTTGACTGAACTCTCACTTTAAAAGAAGATACAATCGTACCGATGACTTCACGCTTTGTACATGTTGGCGGCGGTGGCGAGTGCTAACTGCCCATTGGCCGCGACCACACACGGCTCCTCCTCCAGTAGTCCATTGGGATCGGCGTGCGGGATGCTATCGTGGTAGCTGCTGAAGCTGATGTTGTCCTCCTTCAGCTCAATGGTCCAAAACGGGGCATTCAGTTTTCGGTTGCGATACTCACGATACGTATACACGCCTCCGACGAAGCCCATGAGGAGAACGACGACCACAATGATGACGGCGAGAATGATGACGTTAAACTGCGTCCAGGACACTACTGTTAGGGCAGAGGCCGTGCTGTTGTGTCCCGCGGAGTCCCCCGTGCCGGACTCCAGGGTCGGTAGGCTTGGGTGGGTGGTGGGGGAGGGGGAAGTGAGGAGACGGGAAGGAGGTGTAGAAGAAATGGAACTTGTGGATTTGGGGATTTGTGTTGTGGAGGTTTTGATGTCTTGAGTCGGGGAAAATCTCACAGCTGAGAGTGAGAGAAAGAGAGAGAGAGAGAGAGAGAGAGAGAGAGAGAGAGAGGGGGAGAGAGAGAGAGTCAATGATTAAAATGGTTGCAGAGACATAAAAGGATATAAATGAAAAATAAATAACCTAGAGCAATTAGTTGAACAAGTATTCGAGATTACGATCAATCTTGAAGCGTGGATTAGGACTGCATCTAGGCCTAGTTTCTTTTAATATAAATTGATCTTCTTTTTTCTCTATTATTTTTCAAAGTTGTAAACAAACATTATTGAAGTATGTTTTTTTACAAGAAAATACTATTTCAGTCTTTCTACTTCAAAATTTCACATTTATTTTAATGTGCTTCTTGTTTCTTTGTAATTATTTGTGAAATGTACTAGGAATTTTTAAGTGAAAATTGTTTCAAAGTAAATCAATTCTTTTTTCAGTGACACATTATATTTTTTATTTGCAGATCCTAATTATTCTCTTATATTTTATTAAAATTATGTTTTCCCTCCCAGTAATTTAAAAATGTAAAAAAAAGAGAAATGTCCTGGTGGCAAGACTGTCTGCATAAGTTACATTAAAATAAAAATACAATTATTATTACATTACATTATTAGGATCTATTTAAAGACATGAGCTTATGCATATTGCTCTAAAATTGTAAGTCTCTATTTCAGTGATGGCATCCTTTGAAAATCCATTAAGATCCCCAACAGGAAGCAAATAAGGTCAAGGTCAAGGTCAAGCTTTTAAATTAGTTTTACCTCCCGCTATTAGTCACATTTGTAATATTTCCATGTTTATTTGGACACGTCCTCCACATGACAGACATTGTTAATGCATTAACAAGCATAAAAGAAGTTGAAGAGGTCATGAATTGAGAAATACATTTTTCCTTGATCTTTCGACATATAAGAGGTCATTAAACTACAAAAACATCCTGTAAGTTTCAGAACTCAAAACTTTCTCATTAGTCCAAAAATAGTTTTTGTTGAAACCTAGCAACTTGTCACATTATGAGGTAATAGTGTGACGAAAGACCGCCTTTGCAGAAGAAAATCAACGCCTACTCGCGCGTATCATTGAGTGGTAAATACGAGAGAGAAGCTAACACAGAATTATTCCAGCAATAAAAAAATAGAAATACCTCTGAAGATTACAAGATGTTTTGAAGTGCCAAGTTATGGAAAAGCACAGTCTTTGCATTGCCGTCCATGTGATCCTAATATTAAGGAACGTGGATTAACTTTATTCTTAACAAAGTTAAACGCTGCTTTTGTTATTGTTTTGATTGAAGCCTTTCGCTCTAATCCTGAACAAAAGCGTCAGTGAGCGAGATCTTCCGTTTTGTCATCAGTAAGGAGTCACAACGGGTTTAATTTTAGTTAAAACATGACACTGACAATGAATATGTTTTTCACTTTATTGATAAACACATTAATTCATAATTCCGTTTCCACGAAACACTGCAAGTTATCCAGTCAACTATAACTGTGGTAACTCCAAGAACTTCAACTTTATTTGCCACAACCAAGACTTATAAAGCATATTGCCACGTTGTGGCAAATTATTCAAATATGTAGCGAGACATTTTTCAACATCGGAAGTTTTCAAAACAATTCCACACGTGTAATGGCAGGGATGTTAAAATTGATCTTAATATGTGAAACTGTTACCCAATCATAGCAGTGGGCGTTTACTTTCAAGTCTTGCATCAAAACAGAGTGTTTGAAAGAGAGGGTCAAAAACAGGATAGAAAATAGCTTATTATTAGGGGTGTAACAATATATCGTACCATAATATATCGCAATACAAAAATGCAACCATATGAATTGTGGATAGTGACTATCTGTTTTGGGTATAGATCACCCAAAATAAAAATTACTGTGTGAGAAAAAATTCAAGTTTTCAGAGTTTTAGGGCCCTCTTTTAACGATCTAAGCACATGGTCTAAAGTCAGTCTATTTCAGTTGCCTCAAAATAGCAATGTGCCAACAATGCGCCTGAACACACATCGTTGTCAGACCAGCACGCCCATGGGCGCAAATGCATTTGCTATTTAAACAACGTGGCGCAGGACGTGAAAATGATAACTGCGTCGGGCTGAAACTGGCAAAAAACACTTGCGTCGCGCCCAGGGGCGTAATTAGTGGGGGGGATGGGGGGGATATAAATCTATGCATTACAACATTATTTATTCCATGATCACAATATCAGGAGGCATACCCAAAGTTCAACCCCCCCAATGTTCAATCCAAATCTACGCCCTTGGTCGCGCCTGGCGCTGCATTGTGCCGGGTGTATGATAGGGCCCTTAGTGTCAGTACTACATTAAACTACTATATATCATTTTGAATATAATGTATTATAATGCAATGGGGGAATATTTGTGGGTCCTGATAATGCCAAAACTCTAATGTTACCACTAAAAAGTGGCCTACATTATTTTAAATATATCTAGCCAGTAATAGAGTGCAAGCATATTCGTCTAAAATAATTCTGTATTTTCAGCTTCAGAATCATGAATATTTTTATTCTGGTGTCACCATTGTCCTGTGCATTTTGTTACATGCACAAAGTCCAAGCATATTCATTTACACCCACCATGTAATATCAAATTTAGCATTTTAAATCAACAGTACATTTTTTGTTAACCTTTTATCATATGTCTTGGAGTATTGCAATAATATCGTATCGTGAGTTCAGTATCGTGATATGTATCGAATCGTGACACGAGGGTATCATTACACTACTACTTATTACTTCTAAATTAGGATGTGTTTTGATGTAAAAATCTTGTTAACTTTATAAGTGAACCTTAGAGAACATTATAAAATATACACTCACCGGCCACTTTATTAGGTACCCCATGCTAGTAATGGGTTGGACCCCCTTTTGCCTTCAGAACTGCCTCAATTCTTCGTGGCATAGATTCAACAAGGTGCTGGAAGCATTCCTCAGGGAGTTTGGTCCATATTGACATGATGGCATCACACAGTTGCCGCAGATTTGTCGGCTGCACATCCATGATGCGAATCTCCCGTTCCACCACATCCCAAAGATGCTCTATTGGGTTGAGATCTGGTGACTGTGGAGGCCATTTTAGTACAGTGAACTCATTGTCATGTTCAAGAAACCAATTTGAAATGATTAGAGCTTTGTGACATGGTGGAAGTAGCCATCAGAGGATGGGTACATGGTGGCCATAAAGGGATGGACATGGTCAGAAACAATGCTCAGGTAGGCCGTGGCATTTAAACGATGCCCAGTTGGCACTAAGGGGCCTAAAGTGTGCCAGGAAAACATCCCCCACACCATTACACCACCACCACCAGCCTGCACAGTGGTAACAAGGCATGATGGTTCCATGTTCTCATTCTGTTTACGCCAAATTCTGACTCTAACATCTGAATGTCTCAACAGAAATCGAGACTCATCAGACCAGGCAACATTTTTCCAGTCTTCAACTGTTCAATTTTGGTGAGCTCTTGCAAATTGTAGCCTCTTTTTCCTATTTGTAGTGGAGATGAGTGGTACCCGGTGGAGTCTTCTGCTGTTGTAGCCCATCCGCCTCAAGGTTGTGCGTGTTGTGGCTTCACAAATGCTTTGCTGCATACCTCGGTTGTAACGAGTGGTTATTTCAGTCACTGTTGCCCTTCTATCAGCTCGAACCAGTCTGGCCATTCTCCTCTGACCTCTGGCATCAACAAGGCATTTCCGCCCACAGAACTGCCGCTCACTGGATGTTTTTTCTTTTTCGGACCATTCTCTGTAAACCCTAGAGATGGTTGTGCGTGAAAATCCCAGTAGATTAGCAGTTTCTGAAATACTCAGACCAGCCCTTCTGGCACCAACAATCATGCCACGTTCAAAGTCACTCAAATCAACTTTCTTCCCCATACTGATGCTCGGTTTGAACTGCAGGAGATTGTCTTGACCATGTCTACATGCCTAAATGCACTGAGTTGCCGCCATGTGATTGGCTGCTTAGAAATTAAGTGTTAACGAGCAGTTGGACAGGTGTACCTAATAAAGTGGCCGGTGAGTGTATTTTCTCCTGGTGGTGAGTATTATTCTCTCAACAGACATTTACATCGATAGTCTGGCGTTATAATTTATTTGCTTTTGGTGTACTGTGGAGTGGGTAAAACTGTTTTTAATGGCAGGCAAGAAGATACCGTTGACTCGCGCTAGCCTAGCACCGGCGAACTATGCAAGTGGAAGGACTGGATGACATTTTTTGAAAACTGTCTCCACCGATAAATAACACCCAGGCTAACTTGGAAATGAGGTCTAATGTCCAAAATCCTGAACCACCCCTTTAAGGTCAAGCTTTTAAATTAGAATTGTACCTCCCACTATTAGTCACATTTGTAATTTTTCCATGTTCATTTTGACGCCTCCTGTATATATGCATCTAATCGTTACACCCAGAGTTTGAAATTAACTTTTTCACTCACCGGCCAATTTGGCTACTAAGTTTTTAAGTTACCGGCCATTCAGAACAACTTCTAGCCCAAAAAAAAGAAAGAAAGAAAAAAGAAATTAACCAGATTATCTACGTCACAGCTTATATATATTTGAAAGTATGAAATTAAAATTTTACATAAATTTCTTATTCAAACAAAATCCTGTCATCCAGCCATCTCCTCCCTTCCTCTTTTATCCTCATCCTTTTCACCAAAAATGTGTTTTAGGTGGACAGATCAATACAGTACAAAGAACATTTAAAAAATGTAGGATGTTGGAAAATAGCAAATTCTTTTCTGTTAACCAAAGGATTTTTAATCTTCGCTATTGCTTCAATGCAACTGAACAAGCGCACAGTTATTTGTTGCGTTGTGACGTACATGTTCAAGTAAGCCAGAAATGCGCAGATTCTGCGCAATACGCTGTATTTAATATATCATGATGACTCACAAATTGAGTATTTGCGCTAAATCAGCACAGATTTGGCTTAACCGAACTTCCCCAACAAAGTGAGTAAACATAATAAGTAACACGCCAAATTGG